TGGGATCCAGGAAAAGAGCTTCCACACAGGCAGGCTGCAGAGGAAAGTCCAGGTTGGGGAGCAGGGTGGGATTCTGCAGGGGAGAGCTCCAGAAAACACCTGATGGAGTGTCTGAGCACGTTTGGAGAAGGTGCGAGGAAGCATCTGACCGAAGTCTCACTGTGTGCGCAGGTGTGTGCATTCACAGAGCACCACTTGGTTCAGCTGTGAGCTATATTTACTCTCTGCAGTGAGTGTATCTTGTTTCAGTCAATGTGATAGAACTGTTGGAAAGATGGGCTCAAGGTACGGGCTGTCATCCGGGGTGGATAAGAAATGGAAGGCAGTAGATCAGCAGTTCTCAACCTGTGGGTCGCGAACCCTTTGGGGGTCGAACCCTTTCACAGGGGTCACCTAAGACGTCATAGTAGCAAAATTACAGTTATGAAGTAGCAGTGAAAATTTTATAGTTGGGGGTCACCACAACACAAGGAACTGTATTAAAGGGTCACGGCATTAGGAAGGTTGAGAACCACTGCAGTAGATAATGTGTACACTAATCAAATTAAGAATTAGAGGTGTGAGCATATTTACATATAGGGCAAATATTCCAAATACTGAGAAATTAGAAAGTGGTTGCCTCAAGGGAACTCTGTTGAGACAATAAGACAGGGACTGCTATTCGATGTTAAGCCTTTAGGTGCTCTTTTATTTTATTTACAGGTTTAAACCAACACTGTTCCATAGAAATACAATATGAGCCACATATGTAATTTAAGATTTTTTCCCCTAGTGTCCACATTTAAAAAATGTAAAAGGGAACCAATGAAATTAATTTTAATAAATTTTATTTAAGCCAGAATAGATCTAAGACATCAGTTCAATGTGTAACAAATACAAAGAGCATTTCTGGAGCGGGTGACATCGTCCTGCCATGTCTTTGCAGCCCTGTCTGCTGCAACACATCTCCCAGGTGTGGTCACGCTTCAGGGGATGGTAGTTGTGCGGCTCACAGCTTCCCCATTGGACTGCAGGTGTGACCCCGGGCGGACGGGGGAGTGTCCGTTTCCTTCCGGTTTCAGGGATGTGCAGACCTGTCCTCGAGAGGCCCGTTCTGGAGGGTAGTTCCTGACCCTGGGTTCTTCCTTCTGCACAGCTGTCCCTGCTTTATTTTAAATTCTCACATATGTGTAGAACTGTTCCATATTCTCATGGAAGCCACCTGCCCCCATGGGCTTCACTTTCTGATGGGGCAGATGGACGGCACAGATTCGGGGAATGGTGAGCCCTATGGAGAAAAATAGAATGGGGGTGGGGAGAGAATGCGGACAAGTGATTCTGGATGGATGGTCAGAGAAGGCCTCTCTGAGGAGGTGAGGTCTGAGCAAAGACTTGAGTGCAGCTGTCTGGGGCAGACGTGGAAGCCATGGTGGTTCCCGGAGGCAGTTCGTGCTCCCCAATCCAGCGTGTGAACTGCCTGTCTCCCCCTCTCTTGGCTCTGCATGGACTCAGCCTCTCGTTCCCCACGTTTCCTTAGCGTCAGGCACAGCGTCTGTCATCCTGGTGGGCATTTATTTTGTTGAACGAGTGGATGGAGGGATAGCCAACAGCTGATCAAGTGAGCAACATATCATACATGTCAAAGCTCAGACTTTTCGGCAGGACAGCCCTTGGAAGAGCAGAGGCAGGACTGGAGCTTAGGCCTGAGAAGAGCCAGGCTCATGTCAGGCACCTTCTGTTACACCCTCTCCCTGTGTTCAGTGAACAGCTTCTGTACACAATCTGTTCCAGGACAGTTGAGACTACGGATGAGTGTAGTAAACTCTACAATAATTGGAGAAGCTGACATTAAGGAGGCGGGGTGGAGGGTGGGAGGGCAGGAGAACTAACATTTTCATTACTTGTGACATGCCGCTCAGATCCTGGTGCCTAGATCTGGAAACCATTGTTGTAGGCCTGCCTCCCCTTAGGTTGCTTGGTGGGCCCTCAGAGGAAGGACGGAGGCAGAGCCCTTGCGACATCGGCATCTGTTCACATCTTCCTCCACTTCAGATTAGTCCCTGAGAAGATCTGGAGACAACCTGCTAGAGGTGGGGAGGGCTCTACAGATGCCAGTCTGGTGCTGCCTTCTGGTTCTTTGGCTTTTCGGTCCGGCACCCTGGTGGCCCACTCCTGGGACCCAGGGATTAAGGGATATAAAGCCAGCCCAGATAGGAGAGCTAGGAAAGGCGAGATGTTTATTTCATAAAAGGTGTAGCGTACCAGAAAGTTTCCAGCCCTTCTCAGTCGGGCTCTGACACTGAGCGCATCCATTGTGACGCGTGAGTGCACCTCTGGTGCTCATTACCACCAGCGTTGGGAGAACAGGATATAGGTGCTCACATCATGTTCCGTGCTCTGGTGGCTTAGATGAGGATGACACTGGCGTTTCAGTCTCTGGAGGGGTGGTGACAATGTAGTGTCAGCCACAAACTGGTGGCAGACTGTGACTTCATTCTGCAGTGTTTTCTTACAGTTGGGTGCAGCCCTGGGGAACTTGTTGTGGCTCTGCTGTCTCCCATTTCCTGTTAGAGGACCAAAGGGCCTGTTGGAAATAAATCCATAGCACCAATAGGTGTTTCCTCCTTGCCTCTTTTCCCACTGAGTAGTGGTGAGTGCTTTTCATTTTCCCAGCCATGCCGATTACCACAAACTTAGTCCAGAAATGGGCTGCTAAACGTACTTAATTTTGCCAGAAATCTTTGCTCAGAAGGCGGCTACCTGATCCTGCCCTGACCTAATTGCAGTGACACGGGTGCTGTCGAGATTGGCACTGGGAGTGTTGAGGCCATGTCTGCTGACCCCCAGTGGCGTCAGCCTGCTTGTGATTCGCTGTGGCTGTGACACCGAGGGTGTGGACCAGGCCTGTTTGGAAGGCTGTCAGAACCTTCGCCAAATGATGCAGGACCCTGGCTTGCTGTCGGTCTCGGGGTCTTGTCTGTTCCTCCTTGGTCTCCTGTGCCTTTACCAAGCCCCTGCTTCCCTGGGAAAAGCCACGTTTGCGCAACCACCCGTTCACCTCGGAAAGGCCTTGTTTTGGAATCGAGGAAAGCGAAGAGCCAACATTGTTCTGACAGAGCCATTCCAGGGACAGTGGTGACCTGCCTCCCTGAGGCTGGAATCCCCTTGCCTGCCTGCCTGCAGGTGGTCTGTACCGGCTTCTCTGCCCTGAGTTCACAGTATGGGGGAAAACTCCACGGGAAGACCGGCCCCTTGCTCCCCACCAGCCCTACTTCAGTGAGAACCTGGTTCCGAGGGGAGTCAGCCTTGGATCAGGGCTCTGGTGTGTTATTTTTACAGCCTTTTTTTTTTTTACCGTATTTGCATTTTTAAAAATAGAGTGCTGAGTGAGTCCCTTTCCGTCTGAGTCTGCTTCGGAAGGTGGGATGCATTTTGCAGACAGTGTGGCTATTGATCGATCCTCGGGATTGGGCCTGTGGACCAAAGGAGCCGCAGATGCGCTGGGTGGGGGTGAGGCTGGACATCATGAGCCACTTGGGAAGGGATAAAGCCTCGACTCTGCCGACCGATGATGTCATTTTGAAGATTGTGTCATTTTTCTGAGGGTTTGCAGTGGGGAAGGCGAAGAAAGGGGAGTGGGAGCATCTGTAAGCCAAGGTCCTGGTGGGCATCTTGCAGGATTTGGGCAGGCAGTGACATGCCCTTCCTGCCAGGGTAGGTCTTTCTCAGATTTGCAGTTCTCCAGTGCTGGGAGGGCCAGGTTCTAAGCACCAGCTCGTTCCCATCCAGTAACCCAGCTCTAAAAATCAGGTTCTCATGGTCACAGTGTGGGCCCAGGAGCTGCCTTCTGCCTGGATGTCTTTAAAGTGGCAAAACTGTGTCCCCTGGGTGTCTGCAGATGTGTGCTGGCAGAATCTGTGCTCTACCCCCTTGGCAGCAGCTGGCTGGGTCAAGTCCCTTGCCTCTTGGTCAGTGGGGTGCTAAACGCTATCCCAGAGCATGGGGCTTTGTTCTCAGCATCTGTCTTGGAACCGGCCTAGACCAGGGGCTGGACCACCTGAACAGAGGCCAGTCAAAGTTGGGGCCACATCATTCTGAGGACCTAGTGCCTGTGCATCTGTTCAAGGATGAACCACAGGTGTGCACTAGGGGTACTGAAGGGGTACCTGTCAGGTCTCACTTTGTTCGTTATGTCAGTGCCCCTTGTTTTTGCATCTTGAGCCCCAGATGTATGTCTTTAAGTCTTTCTAAAATTAAAGACAAATACCCCTAAGTAGTTGGGGTTCTGTTTTGTTTTAGAAGAAAGGGGAACGTACTGATTGAAGTAGACCAGTTTTAACTCGGGTGATTATTGGACTTGCCCAGGAACATTAAGAAACAGATTTCTGGCTTTATGCAGAGATTCATTCAGTAGGTTGGGGTGAAAAATCAAGCATCTGCCCCGCCGGTGTGGCTCACTGGTTGAGCATTGACCCCTGTACCAAGAGGTCACCAGTTCGATTTCTGGTCAGGACACATGCCCAGGTTATGGGCCAGATCCCCAGTGGGTGGCATGCAGGAGGTAGCCAATCAATGGCCTCTTTCACTGATGTTTCTAACTCTTTCTCCCTCTTCCTTCCTATCTCTAAAATCTATGAAGAAGAAAAAATTTTAAGTGAAAAAAAAAAAAAATTTAGGAATCTGTATTTTATTTTATTTATTTATTTATTTTATCCTCACCTGAGGATATTTTTCCATTTTTTTTGTACAGATAGAGTGGGAGGGAGAGAGAGAGAGAGAGAGAGAGAGAAACATCGATGTGAAAGGACACATCGAGTGGCCGCCACCCGCACGACCGACCAGGGCTGGGGACAAACCGCAACTGAAGTACGTGCCCTTAGTGGGCACTGAACCCGGGTCTCTCCGGACCGCAGGCCGACGCCCTAACCGCTGAGCCAAACCGGCCAGGGCAGGAATCGAATCTGTATTTTAAAAGAGAGCTGAGGATTCCAGTAAACAGCGGCCTTAAAACCTGGCCCTGCATGACTGTGCGGTGTTGGTGCATCTGTTCGGTGTCCAGTGCGGCCTGAGGCAGTCCGCACATCAAAATGTGGCTCCTGCCCACAGGGTCTGTGGAGTTTCCAGGTTTTCTGTGTGATGGCGTCACACCTGTGAAAAAGAACTTGTCGAGGCTGCCTCTGTTTTTCTTCATAATCTTTTGCTATTTCAACGCTGCCCAATTAGACATCTAGATTAGATGTCTTCTACTTTTTTTATGGGGCCATTCCCACCCATTAGTCTTCACACACAGCAGGGTGTGGCCCTCCCAAGCCCTCCTTGCAGTTGCTGAGTCTAAGGCATGGTGTCCAGAAATGGGGGTCCTATAGTCCAAGCAAAGTTGGATCTCACTCAGGAAATGTGTCCTCTCCAGGCTTGTGACAATGAGTTCTGGCTGAGCAGTCCTTCCTACATGGGACCTGGAGGAACCCAGAGGCAGGAAGGAAGTTTCATGCCTAATTGTACAGAAAAGACCATCAGAAGTCCAGGGTCCTGTTCGATAGTTATGCCTGCTGCCCTGACACTGCAGAGGTGCCTGGGGCAGTGTGGGGCTGGAGGAGAGGCTCACCCCAGTGCTTCCCAGCTCTGTGACTGCCCCTGCACATGGTTTCCTCTCTGAAGCGGGAGAAGACCTTCCTTCCACGGTGGCGCTGGGGACGAATAGGGTCTGTGAAGCACTCACACCCTGGCTCCTCTTCCCTCCCTTCACTCTCAGGGCCTCAGACCACTGGCCCGCCCTGGCGGGCCAAGCGGTGTGGTTTCCTCCGCCACTCAGGCTGCATTACTGAAAGTCCAGCGGTCCCAGCTCAGATACCCCTCCCACGCTGTCTGATCCACTCTTACATTCTCATCATCGCATGTGGCAGTGTCTGTGCTCATTAAGGGGGGGGGAGGGAGGGCGCGCTTGACCATATAAACAAGAAGGTGTTTGTTTACACTATAAGATTTCCTTGAAATGGCATCCATGGTATAGCTAAAATCCCTTCAATTTATAAAAGATTTTTTAAAAATGGCATCTAAATCAAGATGCACCTGTAGGTTTATTTGCATTTTGTTTTAGTCTGTGTAAATGTTACTTCATGTGTTTTCTCCAGCTGCGCTGTAAGTTCCTCCAGAGGAAAGCCATCTGGGGCCTGGTGAGGTTGTGCCCTGGTGCTCCCGTGCCCTGGTGCTCCCGGGCTTTCTCAGGCCATGCAGACCAGGGGTATTTGTTCCTCTCAGCCAGCCTGTGTGGAGGGATCTGGGAGGAGGCATGCTCCAGAGACCCGTGTAGCCCCTCGGGAGAGCAGTGCTGGGCAGGCAGAGACCAGGGCCCTGCACTGGTCCAGCCCAGGGCTGCCTGTCCCCAATGGTGTTTGGCAGCCAGGGAGGTGACAGGACTTCCTCAGCACATGCAGCTGGGGAGGGGCAGCACTGGGGCCTCTGCGGGGCCGGTTCTCAGTCTGCGGGGCTGCGCGGCTCCCGCGGCCTCTGCGGGGCCGGTTCTCAGTCTGCGGGGCTGCGCGGCTCCCGCGGCCTCTGCGGGGCCGGTTCTCAGTCTGCGGGGCTGCGCGGCTCCCGCGGCCTCTGCGGGGCCGGTTCTCAGTCTGCGGGGCTGCGCGGCTCCAGGGGCCGGCTGCAGCCTGCTGCGCTTTAGGGTCTCAGTGACTGCGTTTTTGTGTTCTAGTCTTGGCTCAGTGAGCTGTCTCATCCTGAGATGCGCTACCGTGGGTGAGCCTTGAGGAAATGGCAGTGAGGGGTGGACAGTTAAGTTTTTAAGACTTAAAGATCAGACTAAGAGGTGATATTAGTCCGCAGCACTGGCCAGGCCAGTTGGTGCCAGAGTAACGCCCAGTACCCCAGGTGGGTATAATCTCACCTGCCTGGAAACCGCGGGTGTTTGAGAAACAAGCAGAGGATTATGCTGGTTCGGGGAGGTTGTGTTTCTTCTACATGGGATCTCGTGTAGTAGGATGTGGACCTGGCCTGCTCCACTGGGCTCGGATACCGTCCTTTGTAGCTATTTCTCATCTTTGCTGCCTCTAAAATGCCAGTCAGGGTAGTGAGGACTTGAGGACATGTGTTAGAGTCCCTTTTGGGAACTTTTTTCGAATGCCTGTTCTCAGAACCACCATCCTGGGAACTGTGGTGGACAGTGAGCCTGGGTCACCCGTCTGTCCTGATGCCCCTCTGATAAGAGCCCCTGGTATGTGAGGATGAGGGGTTATGCACACGGGTCACCTGGAAACCTTGTTGGCATGTGGAGTTCCAGGCGGCAGGGCTGGGGTGGGGCCTGAGAACCTGCATTTTCATGAACTCCTGGCGGAGGCCAGGGCTGCGGGCAGGGCCACACATGCCAGTGAGGAAGGCCAAGTGAGCAAAACCAGGACTCTGGGTGCTGGAGCCGGGGCGGCGGTGGGCAGGTCACTCACCTTTCCAATCCTCCAGCCTCTCTGGAGTGAGAACAGTGGCAGTTCTGCCTCCCCTCTGGGGGTCAGGAGGCTTGGAAGAGGCAGAGCAGGTGTAGCTCTTTCCTGCACAATGTGAGCCCGGTAAAGGGCTGTCCCTGTGATGGCCACCGTGGCCATTGTTCTGGGAACTAGCATGACTTCAGATGTGCGGGGTGGGTCTGGAAGACAGTGTGAGACCATGAGCTCTCTCTGCACCGGGACAGTTGGCCTGCTCCCTGCTGACTCTCAGGGACAGCAGCTGGGCCATAAGAACAGAACCTGAAGTCATGCTGTTTACTTTTGTGCTTTTCAGTCATACTTCTTGAGGAGGGAGGGAGGCACGCTCCTAAAGCTTCTCATTTGTCCCTTCCCTCAAACCCAGGGGTCCTGGGTGCTTTGGTTCTTCTTGAGCCAGGTTGCTAAGCCCGGGGCCAAGACAAGGGTGTGGTGCTGGGCTCTTTCTCCGGGCCGGCTCCTGCCACCGGAATGCACTGGAACTCTGCACCCCAAATACCGCAGCACCTGCAGAGGCAGCTCTGCTGTCCAGGCTCCAGCTGGCCTGCTGCCAGGCGCAGCGCCCCAGTTCTCCCCCCACTTAGAGGGCAGCTGGACTCAGTCCCCTTTCTCTGTCCCCTCGGGCAGGCTGTGCCTCCAGGCCATTCCAGCAAGCTAGCGGGCTGCAGCTGCAGTTTCCAGGCAGTGATGCAATCATGCTGCATCGCAGGCTTCTGGTCTGCAGTGTGCGATCAGGGAGGGGCGCTGGGGACAGGGCCAGCTGGTCCCTGGGCGGCCCCTGGAAGTGGAGAATACAGAGGCTTGGCCAGTTCTCACCTGAAGCGGGGGTGGGGGTGGGGGTGGGGTTGTCCTATTACTACTGAATGCCTGCATCTGTGTGGACAGGGCCTGCCTTCCCCACCTGCCATCCAGAAACAGGAGTTTGTGTCCTGCTGCTCAGCTTAGCAGTATAGTTACTGTGTATAAATGTTTTCAGGTATTTTATTTTGGGTCCCTCATCTAAATGTTAGTTCTTGAAAGCCAAGGCACAATCCTATATATTCATATTTCTGTCTCATTCTCATTCTGAATTTATAGAAAACACTCAGAAACGATTGAATTGATTGGCCTCAGTCTTGAGTTTTAGCAGAGCTTCTGTTGCATGGTTTCTGTAGCACGTGATTGACAGAATTTTCTAGCTCGGGGCACCAACATTTATTTTTCCTTCCACACTGCTCGGCATGTCCAGCTGTCCTCCCTCTCCCCCAGGCACAGGGGCCCTCTGGCCATTTGTGCAATCCCTTCGTCCGCAGGTGTGCAGGCTGCTGATCGCTGGGTTATCAGGGCCACAGCCACATGATGGTCAGCTGCTCCGAGAAAGTCCTTACACTGGCGAACTCGAGAGTCCCTGCCCAGGCAGGGCCCCACATCCAGTCAGAACTGGAAATGGCTCAGGAAGAAGCTGGAAGAGGCGCCCAGTTGCAACCCACAGTCAGTGCCATTTCCTGCCGCTCTCAGTCTCACTGCTCTGAAACCCAGTTTATTGACATTTTTGGGACTGTCAGAAAGAGTTATAAACGAGGGTCTAGACCAAGAGTTTTGCGACAAGCTCAGGGGAGCGGCGTATGCCTCCATGGCCGGAGGGGAGGAAAGTGGTCCTCCTGGCCGAGGCAGGGCTCCTTGGAACTCACCTGGGGGCGGGGCAGAAGTGTCCCGCCTCCCTTCATGTCGCCTTCTCCCCATGATTGTCCTTTAGTGGCCTTGCCATTGTATTGCTTTCCAACTTGAAGCACCTCATTAGCTCTGCCTTCAGAATGTATCCTCTCCCCTCAGCATCACCCGCCTGGGGCAGCCTCAGGACTTCTCAGCCTCCTCTGTGCCATGCTCTGGGCCGCGTCATTCTTTGTCACGGAGCTGTCCATCCCTGGCCTCCACCCGCTGCTACATGCCAGAAGCCCCTTCCCCCAGGGGTAACAAGCAAAAGTGTCCTCTGGGGGCGAGGTTGCCATAGGAACCTTTTGACACGACCACCACTGTGCAGGCCCTCTACCCGGAGCCCTGCGGGGCTCGTCTCGCTCAGGATGGAATCTCAGAGCCATCTGTGCTCTTTAGGCCTGAGCCACGGCTCTCCTGGGAGCCTGTGTGCCCAGCCCTGCTGGCCTCTGGTCGTGGAGACCCGCGGCAGCTACGCCCAGCGCCTCTCTGTAGCTCTCCCCTCTGCGTGGACAGCTCCCTCCCGTGTTGCTCTTCGGAGTGGCCTTTCCTGACCCCCATATAAAGTAAGTCACTCGTGCTCCCCTCCCATTACCTGTCTCTCACACAACCAGCATTGCCTCATTCTTCTTAAAAAAAGTTTTTTTAATTGGAGAGAGAAACATTGATGTGAGAGAGAAACACTGTGATCGACTGTTAGTATATGGGACAACGCTCCATCCACCTGAGCCACACCTGCAGGGCTTGCTCATTTTTCTGTGTGGCACTCAGCACTGCGGACCTATGTGTCTGCTAGTCTCCTGCAGCACTAGAACGTAAGCTTTCTGGAGCAGGAACTTGGTCCCCAGCGCCTGGCACACGCAGGTGCCCAGTCGTCATCACTCAGGTGAGTGAACTCTCCAGAAGGCAGGTGGCCAGGTATGTTTGATGCTCCTCCTCACTCAGACACACTTGAACCTCTCGGTGTGTTATCGTTCTTGTCTTTAGTTTTTAATGTTCAGGAACCTCTGATAGCACCAGCACTCCCTCAAGAAAATGTTAATAGTTCACCGCATCATAGGTTGTTCAGAATTTTAGAACCTATAATGACAGTGGACATCTGTCCCACCTCAGATCCCACCCTGGCGACAATGATTTAAAACTGCATGCTGAGCGCACCCAACAAAAAGCCACGCGGTTCTGTGCCCTGGCTTGACTTTGCTCTGGAAGCTGGCGTTTTCAGCTGTCGGGCACAGCGCCCTCTAGTGTTAGCCTCTGGAGTGTCTGGTGCTTGTGATCTGGGTACCCACGGACTTGAACTTTTATGGGTGAGATGAGAGAGAGGAGGGCAAATTGCTGAACCCTGGGGTTTCCGCCACCTGAACCCTTGGCAGGAGCTCAGGGCCCTGCCGACACCCGCCGTGAGAGGCCGCAGCCCCAGAAGGGAGTGGAGCATGTATTGCTTTTGTGACCCGGAGAGCCTCTGTTCTTATCTCTGCATCTCGGAGGCAGGACGGACTCTGGAGCTAGGCGTCCTGGGTCCCAGGACGGCTCTCCCACTCAAGAACTGTGGGGCTGTGAACAGGTTACTTATTTTCTCTTGGTCTCAGTTTACCTCTCTGTAAAATGGAGTGACAGTGACAGTACGCTTACTCCATGGAGTTGTGCGGACCTCACAGGTAGAACACAAAGCACCTGGCACACGACTGGAGGAATGAGCACCGGTTGTGCTGTGACTACGAGGCAGAGGACTCCAGAGCCGGGCCTGGGGCACCGCGGTCCCTTCCAGAGCGGGGGTGCACGGTGCCTGGACGGGAGCAGGGAGGGACGGTGCGCGTCTGGAAGGACTGCAGTGAGGGGCACACAGACAGGAGGGTGCAGCGTTGTGGGCAAAGGCAGTGCCCGGGACGGGGAGACGGGGATGGGAGAGGAAGTTGGGAGCCCTTCCAGACACCTCTGCTGGTTTGCTGGGATCCCCAAGGGAAGGGACTGTTGCCAGGATAGTGGCCACCACACTACTGTTCTCCCTGCCCCTCCCACTCCGCTCCCACCTCGTCAGGGCTTTGGAGCGATGTTACTCTTTGCCCTGGAAGATGAGAGGACGTGGAGACCAGCTTCACCGTGGAGTGGGTCACACGCTGGCAGAGGGCAGGCCGGGGCAGGAGAAAACCCGCCCTGGCTTTGCAGTGACGTCAGCCTCAGAGCAGGAGCCTCCGTTCCCCAAAACCTTCCGAGCAGTGTCCCGTGAGAGTCTGCACTGATTCAGGGTTTGGGGTCTGCACCTGTGCCACTCTCCCTCCTGTCCTGGGAGCTCTGGGGACCGACACAGCGGCCAAGGTGGGGACGTGGTCTGCAGACTCAACTTGGGTCTCTGCTCGGGGATCTCTGAGCCGGTGAGGTAGCCTCTGTTGGCTGCCATAGCTCCAGCCAAGAGTGGTTCCCTCCCAGCCCACACAACTCGGCGTCTCCCATCGAATCTCTTGGGGCTGCAGCTTCTGGTTTCTATGGCAACTTGGACAGACCCGCAGTTGTGGTGTTTTGAAGTCCACAGTGAGGCAGAGGTTTGAGACAGGTGGGACAGCACCGAGAACACCAGGTCCCAGACCACAGGTGGGCAGAGGGTTAGGGACGGACACCGCCACCCTCAGCAGAGCTCCACACAGCCCTTCACGGCCTCCGCGATCTCTGAGCACACTAGAGGGCGGGGGAGTCGGGCAGAGTGATCACGGCGGCGTCTGCCAAGCACTCACTGTGTGCCAGGCACCCTGCGACCGCCTTGTAGATACATGGACACGTGCGACTTGCCGAGGTTTCAGAGCTGACACGTCTGCGTCTCTGTCTCAAGGACCCCAGATGTAACACGTGGGCCTGGTCTCGCCTGAGGCATAGGCTTGTGTCCTGTAGGAAAATCTTGCCTGCTTTTTGATGGTGGGGCCCATTGCTCCCCCTTTCCTTGTTTTAAATGTTTTTTAAAAATTGTTTTGGAGAGAGAGGAAGGGAGAGAGAGAGAGAGAAACATCAATGTGAGAAAGAAACATCAGTTGACTGCCTCCTGCTCACCCCTTACCCAGGATCGAGCCCACACCCTGGACACATGCCCTGACCGGGAATCGAACGCAGACCTCTCAGTCCATGGGGCGATGCTCAGTCCATTGAGCCACACTGACACAGGCCCCCTTTACTTTTTTGTAAGCCACAGTCTAGTTATAGTGGAATTGGTTTCAGTCATCATTGCCAGAATTTCAGTGACCTTGAGCCAGGGTCTTTCTTTTTCAGTGTCTCAGTTCGTCCATGGAGGCCACCCTTCCACGCCCCAGGGCTTGAGAGTGGAGAGGGTGTTGTTAGAGGGAATAGCTCATCCACCCTGTGGTCTGAGGTCTGCAAGGGCCTGCCCAAAGGTGACGGGCAGTCACCGAGACCCACCTGTTACCATGACTCGATGAAGAGCTGCAGAGCAGTGGCCCCGGCTGGGGAGCCAGCAAAGAAAACTTGCTGTCTCCCGCCTGGGCTCCTGGTGGGGGATCCAGTGCCTGGCAGAGGGAGGGGACAGCTCTCCCGAGGCCCTGGTGTCCTCTAGAAGGAAGGCAGCTGCTGCTGGGTGTCGTGGAGGGAGGGTCAGGTGCTTGCTGAGGTTGGCCAGGCTCCCAGTGCCAGCTGTCCTGAGTTACTCAGCAGCCTGCAGGGCTCCGCAGCACGGCAGATAAGGAGCAGGCTGTAGCCGGTCAGGAAGGATAGCCCGGTTTAGAAGGTGGTGTCCGGTGATAGTGGCTTCAGGGTGACCCACGCAGCCCAGCATCCGCTCGGCCACCACCCTGCTCAGCACTCACCGCACAGCCAGAGGGCAGGCAATTGCAGAAAGTAGAAAAAGGATTTCACTCCTAACAAATTGTCTTGTTCTGCATAGAACAGGCTCTTAAATCTTTACTTTAAATGATGCCGCATGTGATCTGTCATTTAGCCACACTTTGATCCAAAGTCCTCTGCAGGCCTTGTGTTTGCCTTGGGTGGGGGCAGTAGTGCCTGGCGTTGGGTGCAGGGAGAGGATATTCCCGGAGCTGGTGGACACCGTGCTCCGCACGCGGGAACGTGCACTCAGCTGCGATGTTGGTGCCTTCCCCAGGGAGCTGGGAGAAGTGTACCCTGTGGTGCCTTCAGCGGCCATTCACCCTGTGTTTTCTTGTCCAGCTGAAACTAGAGGACCGCTCCGTGGTGCCCCGGGATGTGGTCCGGCACATGCGCTCCACTGTGAGTCCTGCGTCCTGCCCCTGGCAGGGTGTTACTCGGGGTTGTCTGGGCTGGGTCTCCCGTGGCTGGCACCGGGTGCCTGCTCAGGCCTGGATGCCCTCTCCTCCAGGACAGTCAGTGTGGCACCGTGATAGACGTCAGCATTGACTGCGCCGTCAAGCTCATTGGCACCAACTGCATCATTTACCCTGTCAGCAGCAAGGACCTGCAGCACATCTGGGTGAGCTCCTGCCGCTTCTCATTCTCCTCTGGCCCTTTGGTGTCTTCGCGGAACATGGGTGCTACCCCTTCCCAGGTCAGATGGCCAGGCCCAGGGTCCTCCCGCTGCCTTGGAGCCTGCCTGCTGCTTCCTGTCAGTAAGCCATTCAGACCTGAGCTCAGGACTCGTCCTGTGTCAACCCCAGCACAGGCTGCAGGTGTGATTCTCGCGACCTAGTTTCCCTTCTCCTCCAGCACTTCTCTCTTTTTAAACAAGTTTCTATTTGGTACTATTTTTTTTATGATTCCAAACTTCCCAAAAAGTTGTAAGTTCTTGTATTCCATGCATTACCCAGGTTCCTCAGCTGTTAACATTTCACTCCGTTTGCCCATCACCTGCCGCCCCATCGCCCTCTCTCCTTAGCCTTTTCCCCTCAAACATTTGAGAACAAGCTATAGATGTGATGCCCCGTGGCTTCTGAATCCTACAACGTGTATTCCCCTGATTTAGGAACATTCTCCTATGTAACTACCATTCCCTGGAAATAGGGAGTTCGTACATTACTGTCTGTTCCACAGATCCCATTCAGTTGTCCCAGCAATATCCTTGTCCCCCTTCTGATCCAGAACATTCAGGACACACTGCATTTATTGGTCACCTCCTCGATCTCCAATCTGGACCGGTTCCCCAGTCTTGCTCTGTCTCCCATAAAACAGATATACCATCGCGTGACCTCAGCGTGCAACTATCTGAGGTGGTCCCAGAAATGCTACCGAGCTCTTCCCTGGCCCACAGCGTCGGTGGTGGCACCATGGTGGTGTTCACTGAGATCCCTGGTCGCGCTGGCGTCTGCCACACCTCCCCATAAAGTCACTATGTGCCCCGTGCAAATAATTCTGTTTTGTGAATAGATGTTCTGGGCTCATGTCAGTAACCTGTCACACGTCAAACCCCAGTCTGCTGCCTTGGCCTCCATTAACAGCCCCCCCGGCCTGGCCAGCATGCTGATGGTTGCTAAGTGCTGGTTTTATGGCTCCACTGTTCCCTCCTCGTTTTCGTTACTGGTCTACAGTGCGGAAGAGCTTTACCTTCTGCCCTGTTTGTTTATTCTTTCATTTTTTACATCAGCATGGGCTCAGGTTCCTGTGTTGTTCAGTTGGTTATGATCCATTACCACCATTATTTGTTTTGTTGCTTAAATGAGCCCAGCCGTGGTCAAGAGGAGCCCGTTCAAGCTGCCACCTGTGACCTTTTGACTATTTCCATCACTTTTCTTCTGAGCTCTTTTTTTTTTTTAATCCTCACCCGAGGATATTTTTTTCCATTGATTTTTAGAGAGAGTGAAAGGGAAGGTGGGGGATGGAAACATCGATGTGGGAGACACATCAGTTGGTTGCCTCCCACATGCACACCAACTGGGGCTAGGGATCGAACCTGCAACACAGGTACATGCCCTTGACCGGTACTTGAACCTATGGCCCTTTGGTGATTGGGCCAACACTCTAATCACAGAGCCACACCAGCCAGGGCATTTTCTTAGCTCTTTTTTTTACTTTCCATCCTGTATTTTTTCTGATCCAGCCCTGGGATTAGCCATTTTTCCAATGAGCCCTGATTTCTTTCATGGGAGAAAACCAAGATCCGGATGTAGGTTGAGTGTGCTCATTGCTACCAGGCCCTTTCAGGACAGAGCGAAGACATACGTGTGTGTGTATATAAGTTTAGGCAGACACACATGTAAATGTGTCAGTACCTGTTTGTGTATGCATTAGAATACGAGCTTGTCCTGATACCTCCAGTTCCAGTCCAGCGCCTGTCTTTCTCTCCCCTTGTTATCATACCTTCCCCAGCTGTGAGAAGCTTGGCTCTTGACATCCTCGGGATACTCGCTTATTTGCTTCAACCACTTTGCTTTCTTGTCCATGTAACTGCCCTCCACAGCCCGCTCCACTCGAATCTCGTATCCTTGGATGCCACCGGTCTCTGCACCACCAGGCAGTCCCTTCACCTCCTCCTCCACACCAGGAAGGGGAGTTGGGGTGCAGCTTAGAACCTGGGGGAAGCCTGCAGCTGCAGCAGTTCCTCAGGCCCAGTACTAACTAGTCCAGGCAATGAGCTGCCTAGAGCCTTCCTCCCTGTCTCAGTGGGGCAGAAAGAGACTGGAGCCCAGGACACTAGTGCCATCTGTCATCTCCCACCCCCTGTGCCCTGGTCTACAGCCCTTCATGTATGGGGACTACATTGCCTATGACTGCTGGCTGGGGAAGGTCTACGACCTGAAGAACCAGATCATCCTGAAGCTTTCCAATGGCGCCAGGTATGCTCACCACAGGGAGGGGAGGGGTTTTCTCCCGGGCCTGTGACGACAGTGCTGTGGGCATTCAGGGCTGGCCCTGGGCGAGGCTCCTTATCGCAGAGGCCTGGTTCTCCCACGCAGCTTCTGGCCGGTGCCCTATCTTGGTTCAGGGAGAGAAGCATGATCACTTAGGATATCTGCTGGGAGCTGATTCTTTATTTAGATGTTTTAATGGTGCTGAGCACTCAGATGCTGCTGTAGGGTTTTGTTCATTTTAGGAGAGTTATTTATTCCAGTCTCGAGACTGAGTCGTGGACAGAGGAACAGTTGTACCATTTTGACACACTGACATGTTGGGATAACTTCTTTTGATACTGGTCAGCGTCACCCCGGTCCTGGCTGCCAGGCCTCCTCTGAGACCCTGTCACTGTGCCACGTGGACACCAAGCCATGTTCACTATTTCAGGTGCTCCATGAACACAGAAGATGGTGCCAAACTCTACGACGTCTGCCCACACGTCAGCGACTCGGTACGTTTGCGGGGCATCTCGTGCTCCTTGCTCCTCTGGGCTGTGCAGGGAAAGGGCTTCCTAGTGCAGAGCTTGCAGCGGGTCCAGGCTGCTGCTAGCCGTCTTGTCAGCTTTCACCTCCCCTTCTGAGACCTCGGGGCTTGCTTTTGGAGTGCACAGTGTCCTGGCGCAGCGGGCATTTGGAGCAGCAGCTCATGACACAGTTGTGAATGAGTATACTAGGCAGTGCGCACGACCCAACAGGTTGGGCACTGCTCCCTCTCGAGCCTCAGTCCTCAAAGTGTCTTCCCTGACTAACGGCACTGGCACGGCCGGAGAGCACAGAAAAAATGGAATGAGTCAGATGTGCATGTAATACAATTCTTAGTGATTTATACGCACCTTAGGTGTGAGAGGTGCTGCTCGGGAGTCTTAGGGTTGGTTTGGGAAGTGTGGAGGCCTCTGGTGGGGGGCAGGTGAGGAGTGGGGTTGGGGTGGTATGGACAGCACCATCCCCTGGGGAGGCACTACTGACAAGGGCTTCCCTCTGTCTCTAAATCCTGCAGGGGCTCTTCTTCGACGATTCCTATGGCTTCTACCCGGGCCAGGTGCTCATTGGCCCAGCCAAGATCTTCTCCAGTGTCCAGTGGCTGTCAGGAGTCAAGCCCGTGCTCAGCACCAAGAGCAAGTTCCGGGTGGTGGTGGAAGAGGTGGGGACTGGGGACTGGTGGGAGGTGGGTGTGGGACCTCCATCTCCATGCCCCGGCTCGGAGCGCTGCCCACCCTGTCCTTGCCTGCTCTGAGAACTAAACCCCACTCGTTGGCCTCTGGACCCTGTTATGTGAAAGGGCTTTGAGGGTAAGGGGAATCGAGGCTGTGGTCACGGGTGACCAGTAGGCGATGTCCCCAGCCTGCCCGACCCAGGCTGAGCAAGGTGGGAGTGTAGAGTGGCAGGTCCACGGGGCCCTGACTGGAGGTGAGGGGGTGACAGGCATCCCCGGGGGTGCTGTAGTTGTAGGTGGGGCTGTAGTTGTAGGTGGGGCTGTAATTGTAGGTGGGGCCTGCTCTGGGGGTGTTGGTACTTGGTGCAGCCCCATAAAGACCTGCTTCCTGCCCTGGGGGTCAGGTGGGCTCTGGGGAGCTGCTTAAAGGGCGAGCTGTTGGAACCTGCTGACCATGGGCCTGTGCCACTCACCGCCCCTAGGTGCAGGTTGTGGAGCTGAAAGTCACATGGATTACCAAGAGCTTCTGTCCAGGGGGCACGGACAGCGTCAGCCCCCCGCCCTCTGTCATCACCCAGGAAAACCTAGGCAGGTGAGCAGCTCCGGCATGCCACCCACCCGGAAACCCCAGGGACAGGCTCTGAGCAAGTCTCTGGGCCACAGTCACAGATGTGGGAGCTGAGAACTGCTGACCCGGCCCCGGCTCTCCCCTCCAGGGTGAAGCGTCTCGGATGCTTTGACCATGCGCAGCGGCAGCTGGGGGAGCGCTGTCTGTTTGTCTTCCCAGCCAAGGTAGAGCTGGCCAAGATTGCCTGTGAATGTCCGGAAAAACACTGCGCCCAGGGGGAGGGCTCTATGGCCAAGAAGGTATGTCCTCGGGGTTGGGGTTGGTGGGCTTTTGAGGAACTGGCCTTGAGTGATTTCCACAGCCAGGAAGATGGTCTGTGTTCCAGGTCTTGGGGGGCAGCCCTCATGACCCTTGTAGGCTATGTAGGTGTGTATAGCTGTCACCCCCCAGGCCAGGCTGCCTGAGGTCGGGCCTGCCTGGGTGCCCTGCACCCCCAGGGCAGGACTTGTCAGCCTGCTGCCACAGCTTCCTCCTCCTGCTCTGCCCTCGCAGGTGAAGCGCCTGTTGAAGAAGCAGGTTGTGAGGATCATGTCCTGCTCCCCCGACACCCAGTGCTCCAGGGACCATTCCACAGAGGACCCAGGCAAGAAAGGAGGGGCCAAAGCCAAGAGTGAAACGGGGTCCGCCAGCCCCGAGGAGACGCCTGATGGGTCCGCCAGCCCAGTGGAGATGCAGGACGAGGGCTCAGAGGAGGCCCTGGAGGGGGGCGAGCAGCTGCCCCCCTTCCTGCTGAAGGAAGGCGGAGATGACAGGCTACACTCCGCAGAGCAGGATGCAGATGATGAGGCCGCCGACGACACGGATGACACCAGCTCAGTCACCTCCTCTGCCAGCTCCACCGCTTCCTCCCAGAGCGGCAGCGGCACGAGTCGGAAAAAGAGCATCCCTTTGTCTATTAAGAATTTAAAGCGGAAACACAAGAGAAAGAAGAATAAGATCACCCGTGACTTCAAGCCGGGGGACAGGTACACCCAGGGGGGCCCTCCCTCCTGGCCGAGTGTCCAACCTGAGCCCAGCCCCTTAGCTCCACATACACGTGTGCACGCAGGCTCACACACGGGTACCCCTGTGAAGGCTGGGGTACCCAGCTGAGATGGAGGTGCCTGGGGTTGGCCCGATGGAAAGGAGAGATTTGGGAGTGAGACAGAAGGTGGGACTGTGGCCTTGACCCCGAGTCTGCCCTCTGGGACCACATTCTCTTGAGCTCTCCCAAATGGGGCTATTCCCAGAAGAGAGCGCAGGCATGGAACCTGCGTGAGCACCCTCTGGCTCGTTTGTCTTCCTTGTGTCTGGATTCAGTTCCAGGTCACCAAGCCCACAGGGAAGGGGAGGGTAGAGGGAATACCTGCCCTTTCCTCCACGAGGCCTTTTGCATGGCCTGGCTCACGGGCCCCCTTTGTAGGGTGGCGGTGGAGGTGGTGACCACGATGACCTCAGCAGATGTGATGTGGCAGGACGGCTCGGTGGAGTGCAACATCCGCTCCAACGACCTCTTCCCGGTGCACCACCTGGACAACAACGAGTTCTGTCCCGGAGACTTCGTGGTGGACAAGCGAGGTAGGCCATTCCTGCTGAGGGCTGGGCCGGGCCTGAGAAAAATGGGCAAGAGAGCTCAGGGTCAAGAGGAGACTCCCCTTTGAAGGTGGCTTGATCTTTTGAGGACTGGGGGCGCCTTTTTTGCCTTCTGTTGACCTTGCCAGGGAACACGTGGCTTTTGTGCTCTGCTCTGCTCGACACATGGCGGGTGGGTGAGTGGATGGCACGTGGTGCCACCAGGGCTCCTTAGTTAGTCCTGTGCTCTCTGGTTCCCTAGTCCAGAGCTGTCCAGACCCCGCTGTCTATGGTGTAGTGCAGTCTGGGGACCACGTGGGACGCACCTGCGTGGTGAAGTGGTTCAAGCTGCGGCCAAGTGGGGACGACGTGGAGGTGAGCATGCAGCCTTGCTTCTTCCTTCGGGCTCTGGTGGGCTAGGTGTAGGGCCCCTGGGCTCATGACAACCCATCCTATGCCCAGTTGATCGGAGAAGAGGAAGACGTGAGCGTTTATGACATTGCTGACCACCCTGACTTCCGGTTCCGCACGACCGACATCGTCATCCGCATTGGCAATACTGAGGATGGAGCTCCTCACAAGGAGGATGAGGTATGCTCCCCCCACCCCCATTCAAGTTCCTGTGCAGCAGTTGCAGTTACTGGAGGTGCCACCAGGTGGCTCCAGAAGATCAGATCTGCTAGTCCTCTGGCTTGTCCCAAGCTGTCACTTCTCTGGGCCACCTGCAGAGAGAGTGTCTGCCGCTCCACCTGCCAGGATCAGGTGCATTCACAGAGCTGCTCCCTGAGCCCCACTGGCTGCAGTCATGAGAGAAGCTTTGCTCCTTGTGCTCAGCACTGTGAGCGTGATGCTGGGTGCTGCAGCACCACAGGGCAGGCACGAGGGCGTCTGAGCTGGGCCTGGGGGTACATGGGAATGCTGGTGTGGTCGGGCAGATTCCAGCAGAGAAAGAGTGAGAGCAAAAGTACTGAGGCTGAAACCCTGTCCTGGGAACGACGGGAAGCCTGGAGCGACCACAGTGCTGAGAGAGGAAGGGAGTCAGTAGGCGCCGTGCACTCGGTGGCCAGGTGCAGTGGGAGCTCTGTGGACAGGGCACCTGGGAGGTGTTTGAACAAGAGGTCCTGTGCTTGAGCTGCTCGCTGTGGCCTCTATCTGGTGCCTGCACCCCTCCTGTTTGTACAGCCTCACCTTTGCCACCCACTGCTGTCACTCCCTTTTGGGGGTGCTCTGGCCCTTGCCTCTCCTGTGAGGCTGCGCCCTTGACCCTGTTCCATTTGCCCGGCAGCCATCAGTTGGCCAGGTGGCCCGTGTAGACGTCAGCAGCAAGGTGGAGGTGGTGTGGGCTGACAACTCAAAGACCATCATCCTGCCCCAGGTAAGGCCCTGCCAAGACCCAGCCCACTCAGTTGTGGCAGCTGGGCTGGAAGCCATGGCCTGTCTGCTGTCCCCACTCAGGAACAGGAGGACAGGCTCTCAGATCTTCCTGGTGAGGGGGTCTCTTCGGGTAATAGGGTCTCAGGGAAAGCTTGAGAGGAAGAAGGTGGCATTACTTGCCAAGCTCTGTAGTCTTACCCCACCTGGAAGCCTCCCCCGATAGCCGGCTGCATGTAGATACCACACACCTCCCAGATTTGCCTGGATCCCCATCTCACTGTGTTGAGAAAGTGCAGGTTATTTCCTATAGGCGAGAGAGCCACTGACATTTCTAGGAAAACCTTCGCAGAACGGTAAGCGGAAGGAGAGGAGCCGGCCCCCGCCCCAGCACCTGTGGTGGGTTCTGAGCTGCAGGACTGTTCTCAGCACCATTCCTTCGTCTCCTTGTTGGCCATCCTCAGGCCCGCTCTCCTCTCCTGGTGCCATGTAGGGAGGGGCAAGGGAGTGGGAACAGACATGGCCCAGGCTCGCTGTCCCGTACCTCCCCCTCCTCAGGCATGTTCCCAGCTCCCAGTGTAACAGGGGCCTCTGACCAGAGTCCTCTGGGCTGGCCTGGATGTGCCCCAAGGGCAGAGGCTGACAGTGCACACAGTGGGAGGGGAGGCCTGTCGGCTGGGGCTCGAGGTGCTGTTGCTGGGGAAGAGCAGGCAGAGGCTCCTCCCAGATGCACAGGTGCCACCTGGCACAGAGAAGCTACCTGCAGAGTCCAGAGTGGGAATGGGGAGGGCTCGAGCGGGGCTGCCAAGGCCTCCGGTTTCTGAGGGTCGGGGTCCCCAGAGCCTGGCAGAGCTCTTCCGAGTGGCCCTGTCTGTCTACCCCCAGCACTTGTACAACATCGAGTCTGAGATCGAGGAGTCGGACTACGACTCAGTGGAAGGCAGCACCAGCGGGGCATCCTCTGATGAGTGGGAGGATGACAGTGACAGCTGGGAGACGGACAATGGGCTGGTGGAGGACGAGCACCCCAAGATAGAGGAGCCCCCCATTCCACCCACAGAACTGCCAGCAGCCCCCGAGGAAGACAAAGGCGTAGTGATCAGCGAAGAGGCGGCCACGGCTGCCATTCAGGGGGCTGTGGCCATGGCCGCCCCGGTGGCGGGGCTGATGGAGAAGGCAGGCAAGGACGGGCCCCCGAAGAGCTTCCGGGAGTTGAAAGAGGCCATCAAGATCCTGGAGAGCCTCAAGAACATGACCGTGGAGCAGCTTCTGACAGGCTCCCCCACCTCCCCCACAGTGGAGCCTGAGAAACCGACTCGGGAGAAGAAGTTTCTGGATGACATTAAGAAGCTGCAAGAAAACCTCAAGAAGACCCTGGACAATGTGGCCATCGCAGAGGAGGAGAAGATGGAGGCCATGCCGGACACAGAGCGCAAGGAGGACAGGCCCGAGGCACAGTCTCCTGCGAAGGCCGAGTGGCCCAGCGAGACCCCGGTGCTGTGCCAGCAGTGCGGCGGCAAGCCCGGGGTCACCTTCACCAGTGCCCGGGGCGAGGTCTTCTCCGTGCTGGAGTTCGCGCCCTGTGAGTGCGCCCCTTTCTGCTCTCAGGTTCCGGGCACAGCGTGCACCCATGCAGCCCGCTGCTGCTGCTGCAGGGTAGGGGGTGGGGCGCAGAACAGTCCCCTGGTGTGGTCGCTGGTCTGATGCCAGGAGAGGGTGGGACGAGTGTGGGTGTCTCCACCTCCCTGAGGAGCATGCCCTGCAGCTGCCTTTCTGGATGGAGCTCTCGGGGCCTCGCCGTTAGGGACTGAACATTCTCTTCCCCTCTCCAGCAAATCACTCTTTTAAGAAAATTGAGTTCCAGCCTCCAGAAGCCAAGAAGTTCTTCAGCACAGTGCGGAAGGAGATGGCACTGCTGGCTACCTCACTGCCTGACGGCATCATGGTCAAGACTTTTGAGGATAGAATGGCAAGTAGCCTGGTGTGGGCTGGCGTGGGCAGGTGCAGGTGGGCTGTGTGGGCACAGCCAGCCTTGGCCCCAGACCTTCAGGCCTGAGTGGCACCTGAGAGGCCTCCCACACCCCTGATAAGGCAGGAAACGGGCTCAGTCAGGCGTGGGGCCAAGTCCAGCACCTGTGTCTAGATCAGAGGCTCCTCCTTTCCTTTGTTCTGAAGTTAGTTTTAAATTCTGTAATTATTATCCGAGTCCAGTCTTCTTTTTGAAGCATTAGAACGTTACAGAAAACGCTGAAGTTGCCTTTGACTGATCTCCACCCTGCCAAGAGGTTCAGTGCATTTTCTTATGATGATATTTTATTTATTTATTTATATATATATATGTGTATGTATATATATACTTTTTAATCCTCGCCCTAGGACATTTTTGCATTTATCTTCAGATAGAGCGGGCGGGAGAGAGGGAGGGGGGAGAGAGAGAAACATCGATGTGAGAGAGATACACCAACCAGCTGCCACCCACACGACCCCAACCCCGGGCCGGGGACAAAGTGCAACCGAGGTACGTGCCCTTAGGGGGAACCGAACCCAGGACTCTGGTCTGCGGGCTGACGCTCTAACCACTGAGCAAAACTGGCCAGGGCATTTTTTATATTTTTACATTCTCATGTGTCATCATAACACACACTGTTTTATGATTTATTTTACATAAATAGCTTGTCATTGTACACATCATCTGCAATTTGCTGTTTTGCTCAGCAGGGTCATTTTGAGACCTACCATGTCGGTTCATGCTGTGTATCCATCCCATTCAGCCACAGGGTAGCCTTCACGCGACACCGCAGCCGGTCCCGGGTCTGAGTCACAGCCCAAGGCAGTGTCTTTGCTTTCCTGTTGTTCCAGGGATTGGCAAGCCCCTCCCACCTTGTTTATTCAGCCAACCTCTAGTGCCCCTCTGTGTGCCACGCACCCGGCAAGTCGCTGAGCTAGGCTCTGATCGAGGCCCCGGCTCGGCTCAGCTCTGGAGCAAGGGGCCAAAGAAGAGACCACAGACCTCGGGCAGGGCTGGGAACTCGTGCCGGCCGCTGCTGCTCGAGGCTCCTAATGCTTCTGGTTTACCTCGGGCCTTAGCAACAGTCTTTTTGAAAACTTCAGCCTATCTCGGCCCTCTCAGGGATGAAGAGAATAGTATTTTTTGTTCTGTTCTTCTCTTCTTCCACATCTCCCTGCGAGGGAGAGGGAAGCAGTGTGGGGACCTGAGGCCCACAGGGCCCTGTGAGGACGTCCGGGGGAGCGTCCGGTCGCCCGCCTGCTCCCATCCGCCGTTTGCCAGCTGGCATTCGCCCGCAGGGCCCATGACACCCCCGCCCCACAGGTCGCGGTGTCCGTGGTGTCCCGGTGGCTGAACGGCCCGTTTCTGTGTGGTCTCCAGCATTTCCCCTGGAGCTCAGACCCTCTTGTCCTCGGGTCCCTGAAGCAGGTGCAGCCCTGCCTTCCTCACGTGTTCTTTCACACTCTGAAGGGCTGTCATTGCTGCCTCATTTGGGTTGGGGTCAGGGCAGGTGTTTTGAGGAATACAACTCAAAATTTAATGACTTAGGAGAAATGAAACCTGGTTCGATAAAAACCAGTTTGGAAAATTCCTTTCATACCGGGAGTTAAAAGATGCCAAGTGGGTGTGTACAGAGGAGTTTGCAGTCACGCCTGTCGCTGGTGGGGTGTGGAGTCCCAGGGTGCTGCTCCTCCACCCACAGTGCCCTGGAAAGCACACAACCAGACATGTGTGGACCCTGCCAACCAAGCCTCCCCCTCTAGGACCTCTTCTCGGCCCTGATCAAGGGCCCTACGCGCACCCCCTATGAGGACGGCCTCTACCTGTTTGACATCCAGCTTCCCAACATCTACCCGGCCGTGCCCCCCCACTTCTGCTACCTCTCCCAGTGCAGTGGCCGTCTGAACCCCAACCTGTATGACAATGGGAAGGTGTGTGTCAGCCTCCTGGGCACCTGGATTGGGAAGGTGAGTACTGTTCCAGTCAGGGTGGGGGACAGCCCATGGAGGACAGCCCCCTGCGTTTGGGACAGTTGGTCATGCTGTGTGTGTTTCAGGGGACAGAGAGGTGGACGAGCAAGTCCAGTCTTCTCCAGGTGCTCATCTCCATCCAAGGTACAGTGGGTGGGGCCGGGGGGAGGGGGCTGCTGGGGGGCACCGCAGCTGGTCTCTGCCCCTCCCCTGCCGGGAGGCCTGGCTGTCCCCGTGGGGGTCGAGGTCAGGCTGGGCCTGATGAGCTTCTTCCTCAAAGGTCTCATCCTCGTGAATGAGCCATACTACAACGAAGCCGGCTTCGACAGCGACCGGGGCCTGCAGGAGGGCTACGAGAACAGTCGCTGCTACAACGAGATGGCGCTGATCCGCGTGGTGCAGTCCATGACCCAGCTGGTGCGGCGGCCCCCCGAGGTCTTCGAACAGGAGATCCGACAGCACTTCAGCACCGGCGGCTGGCGGCTGGTGAACCGCATTGAGTCCTGGCTGGAAACCCATGCCCTGCTGGAGAAGGCCCAGGCACTGCCCAACGGGGTCTTCAAGGACAGCAGCTCTGCAGGGCCACCTACTGTGGCCGAGCTCTCAGACAGCGGCCGGGAGGAACCTGAGGATGGCGGGCTGGCCCCTGGAGAGGCCTCCCAGGGCTCAGACTCAGAGGGCGGTGCCCAGGGCCCAGCCACAGATGGCAGGGACCACACAGACCAGACTTCGGAGGCAGCGCCCGACGCCTCGGTGCCACCCAGTGTCAAACCAAAGAAGCGGAGAAAGAGCTACCGGAGCTTCTTGCCTGAGAAGAGTGGCTACCCTGACATCGGCTTCCCCCTCTTCCCGCTTTCTAAGGGGTTCATCAAGAGCATCCAGGGGGTCCTGGCCCAGCTGCGGGCCGCTCTGATCGAGGCAGGCATGCCTGAGAGCTCACGCAGCAAGTAGCTGCCGGCCTCCAGGAAGGAGGATCGTGGTGGGAGAGGCCAGCTGCTGCCCGCTCACTCCCTGTCCTGGACCTCCGCGCTCCCCATTTTCTCCTCTGTCCCCAGTGCAAGTCCCCCACTGCCTTCTTCTTCCCAAGGTGAGTTCGATGCTGACGTGCAAGAAGTTTCTTGAGATGCTGCCATTTCTATTCTGAAGCAATCTTTCAACAGGCAAGCCCCCTGTGCAAAGCAAATCTGAACCCTGTTGCTGACTTTCCACTTGTCACTCTAGGCGGAATGTCCCGGCACTTGTCCCCTTGCGGTCTCCATCTCAGGTTGAAGGTGGAGTTTTCCAAGGGTCTGGCTCCGGGGCCCTGGGGCCCCAGAGCTGTGCCGAGCAGCAGCAGGACGAGTGGCCATACCTTGCATGAAGTGTGGGTTGCTCCAGTAATTTCCCTGGTCCCTTTCATCCTCTTCAGTGCCATTGTAGCTTCCCCATGTCCCAGGCCACTACTCCAGGTCCTCCCTCGTCCCCCAGCATCAACACTCTCCCCTGGGAGTTGTCGCCACTGTCCTCAACTCCGTGCTCTGTTCTGGCCCATTTACAGGATAGCCCTCAGGCCTGTTGAACTTGCTCTCTTAAGAGACCAGGCTGGCTTCAGGGTGACACCTAGAAGAGGTGGTGGCCTTCACGCTAACATGTGAGGACCAGGGAGCTGTGGGGAAAGAAACAGCTGTAGGTGCCTTGCTCTTCCTGTCCCATGGGGCGTGGGCGGGCGGTTCTGACTTCAAGGCCTCGTCTGCTTGAACTGAAGCCCGTGTTGCTCCCCGCGCAGTCCGGTCCCAGGACCCGGGAGGAAGGAGCAGCGGCACAGCCAGGGCCTGGGCACGTGTGCTGGGCCTTTCCCATGGACTCTGCCCCTCCCACTACCACGCTCACTGGGAGGGGGCCTGTAGCTCGAGACACGAGCCCACCGCTCCTGAGCCAGCCTGCCCCGTGAGAACGAGGCCTCCTCAGCCCTGGCCCACAGACCCGCGGGCTGTCTGGGGGGAGGTGGCCAGCATGCGGCGTGGGGTCTCTTCCCTCACAGACAGGCCCAGAGGTTTACAAGTTTTCTAAGCTTTTGATAATGTGAAGCTCCAGGTTAAGAGGATGCTGTTGAGCACATTGCAGGTATGTAATTTCTGGTGTATGTATGTAATATTTAAGGTTGAAAGAAAATAAATTTCAAAGGCAAAGATATTAACTCTTATTAGAAAAAAATAAACAAACAAAAAAAAGAAGCCAAAGCATGATGCGTCTTGTCCGCCTTAAGCTGGCTCCCCACCTGAGCTGTGCCATCACCACCCAGTGGGCAGCAGCTGAGGGGAGGGACGAGCCCGACCGTGGCCGTGGCACCGGAGCCCCGGCGGTATCTTGTGCCGGACGTCCAGAGTGGCTGCTGGGCTGTGCTTCCCAGTGCGTTGTCCATGTGGAGATGTGAATGCCTACTGCTTACGATATCTGTATAAAGTGCTCTGTGATTAAACCTTTTTTTTTTTTTACTTGCATTTTTTTTTTTGTTTGTTTGGCTTATTACAATGTACAAAAAAAAGACAAGGTGGCACCATTAAACCTGCCTCTGCCATTCATCCGGGCTCTGTTGCCTTTCTTCCCCTCTGGACACCTCACACACCCTCCCCAGGGAAAGGAGAGCCGTGGTGGGTGGCTCCTGGCTGCAGCCCGTGGCCCTGCCCGTGGCTCTTCCGTGCCTTCCGCTTTCCCAGGGTCACCCTGCCTGGGAGGTAGGACTCAGGGTTCAGAAGCCAGTGCTCCTGCCTGTGGGCAGAGCTGTGTTCGTTCTTCTAGAGCCAGCCGTCAGCAGTGCTGGCTACCTTCCAGATGCCAGGGAGCTGACACCGAGGCACCTGGCCGGGGCCATGAGCCAAAATGGTCGCCCGGTTGGGAGATTGGCATCTGCCCCTCCCTGCTGCTTCCTTTTAACTGCTGCCCAACAGTCCCCACAAGGATGGGTGGGGTAGGTCAGGGGAGGCTGGCACAGCACTAGAGCCCTCAGTGGGAGGATGACAGACTCCTTTTAAGAAGGGAACAGGTGCCGGCCATTTGGGGCTCAGTTGCTCCTTGCGTTTTCCCGATGCCCCTTACTTGAGGCATTTTCCCTTCCGCTGAGACCAGGTGGCCGCGTCGTCCTGGCTAAGGAAGACGTATTAGCTGGAAGCCGTGCTTCCCACATAGGGGGTGAGGCCCAAAGGGGTATAACCAGCTTTGGGGCAGGACCTTACGCCCTGCAAAAGACACCTGGACCCGCTCTGGTCCTGTGCCCACTGCCACAATCACTGCCTGATCCAGGAGGCACCACTGGGCATCATTAACGTTAAAATACTGGAGCCTGGCAGGAACTAACGTGTGACCCCTAGGATAAGACCAGCAGGCTGGGAATGTCACTTTTATTTGGATTTGATTCATGGGGTGGGTCTCCCAGAATATTGGGGTGGTTTCCACAGATGGTGGGGCCCAACCAGCTGGGCTCCTGGCCCAGGGCCTCATTCCGGCCTTTGGTGGGCAGAGCAGGTTCTTCCAAAGCACAGCCTCTACCCAGCCTTCCATGAGAGTCCTCATCTCCACGGGAGCTGAGCGCAGATTACGAAGTAGACAGAGTAAGGCACCCGTCCTACAGGGAGGTAGGCCCAAGGAGTCATAAGGGACCTTCTGGAGGTGGCGTCTGCTGAAGCTTCTGGCTGGGTGGCAGCAGCTGTGGCTCCAGCGGGGGTGAGGGCTCCACCTGGCCACTGACCATCCAGAAGTAATTTGGGTGCACCTGGCCCTGCACGGCCTCGCTAACCATCAGCTCCCCGTCCACGGCAAACATCCCCTTCCCATCCCTGGGCTCCAGGCGGAAGGCAACCACGGGCACATACACCAAGTAGGGACAGTCACACTCCATGTGCCTGCCCTTCTCCATGGCCAGGAAGAGGCGCAGCAGCATGGCCCGGGACACGCCTGCCCGCACATAGAACAGGTGCATGGCGCCGGCCGCGCTGTGGCCCATGGGGGCGGCGAACATCTCGCTGCCCAGGTGAGAGTGCAGCAGCGCCAGCACCAGCACGAAGTCCTGCTCCGGCACCACAGTCCAGTGAGCAGGCACAGGCTCCTCCAGGGGCACGAGGTGGGTGTCCACAGGGCCCTGCTGGTCCTGCCGGTCCAGAGCAGGGGAGGTGGGCACCTTGGAGACCACCCGTTCTACAGGGAGGTAGGCCAGGCGGCCCCGGTAGACCCTCAGGGTTGCCAGGCGCAGGATGGTGCCCACAGTGAAGCGCATCTCCCCCAGGCGCCGAAACTTCTCGCTTTCGATATCCACATCAGCAATGAAGCCCCAGGCCAGGCTGAGCACGGAGAACACTCGCGGCCCCGATACCATCTGCAGTGACAGCAGGTTCATGGGAGCCAGCCGCCTCCGGCACAGCAGCAGCGTGCAGTTGTTCAGGAGGTCTTCGTTAGTCACCTGCTCGTAGCTGCAGGGGGACAGGTCCTCATGCACCCTCCCCTTCCTCATCCTCGAGAGAGAATGGGGCCAGGCAAGGCCACACTGGGTCCCCAGGGAGACGGAGCAGGTGGGGGCAGCCAGGAGAGGGCCCCAGAACTGAAGGTGGAAGCTCCAGAAAAGGGGGAATGAGAATTTCTAAGAAAACCAGGCAGTGGGGTGGCACTGAAGGGAAACTGAGGCCCACTCTGGCCCTGGGTTCTCACCCTGCATAATGGTTCAAAGACGCTGCCAGTGCATTGCCAGAACCAGCTGGGAGGCTGCACAGGGGCTTCCGGATGGCAGTCTCCCAGTCAGGCCGCTCCATGAGCCCGTTCACCACCTGTTGGACCACGATGGCCTCAGCCTGGGCACACCCTGCAACCACCACCCCCGCCCAGCTCTCCTGGTGCAGGCCTCACTTCATGCATCAGCCCGTCTCCAGACATGACCACCAGCGCATCCCAGCGTGCCAGCTCCTCTGTCCGTGCCAGCTCCCGGGCGTGGTTCCGCCGTTCTACAAGGGGCGGAACAAGGTGGCGATGGAGAAGGGTCCCCAGCAGCGGTTACTCCTTGTACCCGCTCCCTCGAGATGGCACTCACCAGTGAGCATGAGCCTGTAGGAGACATCAGCCTGGGCCAGCAGGGGCTGCACGTGGCTCCGGAAGAGCTGCAGGGCCTTGCCCTTGCCGCCACGTGGGTTGAGCAGCACCAGCACGCGGCAAGGTCGCGGGAGCAGGTTCCGGGGGCCACCGGCTGCAAAAACAAACCTGAAAAGGCCGCATCCTCAACCGGCCACTAGGGGGCGCAGGGTAACTTGGATGGAAGCTGGAGCCTGAAATACCCGGGTAATTGATGCAGGAGAGCCTGCCAGAGGCAGCAGCCTTCCGTAGGGAGCTCCAGCGGGGCGCAGGGCACCCCTGGCATCCCTTGTCCTGGATTCAGGCCCAGCCAATATCGGCCTCATCGGGGGCGCGTTTCTCTCCAGGGTCCCCAGCCCCTCTCTTTTGTCCGATGACTCTGGCCATCCTTCCTAGCCAGGGAGAGACGGGATGCCCCTATACCCTTTCCCCTCCGGGCCCCCACAAACCTGGATCCATAACTTTGACCCGAGGCTCCCGCTGCCTAGGGCTCCCCAGTGTTGTTGGGGCGCTGCTCTCTGCTGTGGCCCCTGCCTTCAGCTCCTTATCGGCGCTGCCCAGGCGGGCGTCGCGGTGCAGGCTGTGGGGCTCGCCCTCCCCGCCCGGAGCCCGGGCTGTGGGGGCACCCGCATCATTCCCTCCGGCTGCCGGATCTGAGGAAGAGGAGACAGCGCTGGCGGAGTCCGGAGCGCCTCCCCGAGGTGAGGGGCGCCCAGCCAGATCCTCGGACCATGCGCGGGGAGCAGCGTGCTCCGGCATCGCTGGAAGCTCGAGGCTGGGGACTTAGTTTTTGGAGAGGTCCAGCAGGCCAAGGCCCGGGGACACCAAGGACGCTCTCGTCCGAGAACTGAGCTGCCACCAGCAGTGCAAAGGGTCTCTTCCTGGGACCTCGGGTTCCGGCCAGACAGATGAGTCACACCCCCGTGGCTCTCCGTCGGACCAGCCCCTCACCCCCGCCCCGCAGGGGCCGCCTCGGGGAGGGGAGTCCGGTAAAAATCCCAGAACTTGGGCGGACACCGTGGGGCACGAACTTTGGGGTGAGCCATCTCAGTCCGATCGCCGGGTCCCCTACCCCAGCTCCAGAACGGCCCTACCCCAGCTCCAGAACGGCCGGGACAGCCGCGCGCACCTTTAATGGCCCGGCTCTGCCCAGACGCGCACCGGGATCGTGGGAGTAGCGCCGGGATCGCGCGAGGACTGAGCCCAAGCCCGGCCGCCAGCTGCTGCCTCCCTCAGCCTAGGACTGAGTGGGTGCGGAGGCCACGCTGTACATGGCCCCGTTCTCCCGGCCGCCCAGGAGCCACGAGCCGAGCGAGGGCAGGGCGGCCGGCCGGCCCTACCCAGTCTGTCCGGTTTGCTGGGGTGGCGCCACCTCGGTTCCCTAGAGTGGCCCAGAGCGGAAAGCAGCTGGTCCCGGGCTCCGCCTCGCATCGGAGGCACAACTGTGGCGCCGGACAAACGCCGACTCCACGGCTTTGCTGCCTCGGGGCTCAAACTTTTCGCTCAACTCGGCCGCCCCTCGCCGCGGTGCACGCAGCGCGCTGAGCTTCCGCGCCCGGCCTGGCCACGCCCCGCGCTCCGCGCGCTCAAAGGGGTGGAACCGGCGCCCGGCGCGGCGGGGACCCGCCCAGGCCCGGCTCACCAAGTTGCCTCTCTGGCACGGTCCGTGCCCGGGGCTTGGCCATGAGCAGCCCTGTTGGGCCCGGGGGTGTGACTACGCGCCCCTGCCACTCGGAGTAGGTGACCGGCGGAAAGGTGGCGCCGCGGCCCAGCCAGGGGAGCTCGAAGGTAGTCCGCGAGGCCCAGAGCCCCGGCCCGGCCACGAGCGGCGCGCCGCGAGCGCAGCGTTTCGGGCGCGTGAAGGTGAACGCGCAGCGCGGGCCCCGCGTGAATTCGCCTCGGTGCCCAAAGTCACAGCGGCCCGGACGAGGTACCGGGCGCCCGCGGCTCGGCGCTCGGGGCAGACTCTGGGCTGCCTCCGGAGGCTGCGACCTCCCGCCCGGGGGTCTTCCCCCTGCACATGCCCAGCTCCAGCCCACCCGGAATTCGAGGCCCGCACAGCCGCGCGTGCTGGGCGTCTCTCCTGCCGCCCCGGTTCTCCCCCAGAGGGTTATTTTTAGCTTCTCGACGCCGCAGCAACCACGGAGCCCGCAGCAGCCAAGCGCATCGTCCCGGGAGCGCGGGCGACCGGCCGAGGGCTGCGGTCGAGGGGAGCGGGTTTGTCCAGAACCGCCCACGTTGGATCCGTTCTCCCAGAGGCCACCATCGAGGCCGATCGGGGCCAAAGAAGCTGCTCCTGCAGCAGGCGAGCAGGCCCACCGCCCCTCACCAACGCGAGAGGAGCCTGGTGGTGTGAACTGACCGAGGGGTCCGGGTCGGGATCGGAGAGCCCAGCTTCGGGGGCGTGTCCCCGCCCCCCACACTGGCTCAGCCAGAAGATGCAAGAGCGCCCGGGAGTTTTCGAAGGAGGCAAACGGGGACGTACGTGTTAGTGTGTGTGATATATAATCACGGGCGCACGTGTCCAGGACCACCTCGAGTTAAATCCCGGGGGGTTGTATGCGGAGACCCGCAGGGAGAAGTTGACCTGACCAGGTAGGGCCAGAGTTAGAGTAAAAACAAACCCCTGTAGGGGGCTGAGGTGTCCAGGCCCAGACTCCACCGAGTTCACGCACCCACACCTGCCCCCACCCATTCCCCACACACCTCTCCTCATCGCCCCTTAAAGTCGGGAAGAGGCAGGTCTGGTCCGCGCCGGTGCCTGCACGCCGGGGGGGGGGGGGGCCGCCTCTCGCAGCGCCGGGGGGCGGGGCCCGAGGGTCCCCAGGCGGGGGCAGCGCGGGCTGGGGTGCGCGGTCCCGAGGCCGGCGGCTCCGCGCGCGTCGCGGCGGTGAGTGTTTCCGCCCCGAGGGCCCCCTGGCGTCGCCGGCTGGGTCCTGAGTGTCCCGAGCGCATTCCGGGAAGGTGACTCAGCGACCGGTTCACGGACCGCGAAACTAAGAATGAGGGGAGGGACCTGGGGCGTCATTAGCCGCTGGCAGCGCCTGGGCGCGTGTCCGCCCAGGTCTGCTCCAGAATGTCCCAGCCCCCCACCCCCGGAATCGGTGCGGGGAGGGGAGGGCAGCGCTGCAGCCGCAGTGCCGCGGTCACGCGACGCCGGGAGGAAGGGGCTCCGCGCGGGAGCCAGGGGCCGGATCCCGCCCTCCTCTCTCCTCTCCCGGCTCCTGCCCCCAGCAGGGGTCCGCGCCGGGGCTTTGGGCGGCTGGAGGTCGCGGGACGCGGGATAGTGCCCCCTGAGCTTCAACCTTGGAGGGAGGTGGCTGCGGAGCCGGCCAGGGCATCCTCCCCTTTCGTCCCCCTGGCTGGGGAGAGCACTTCCATCGGGCTTCGAAAGCCGCCGCTTTAAACCTTGGAGTCTGATGGGAAACTGAGGCACCGCAAAGGGAAGACACTGCCTGGGTCTGCAGTGAGAAAGCCCGCCTGCCTCAGGGTCCCTCTGCTCCTCCCCGACCGCAGACTGGAGCCCTGGGAGTCGTGGGCCGGTGGGGGTGGGGGTGGGGTTGACCGGCAACCGGTCGGGGGAGGGGAGGCCGGGCGCCTGCCGGGTTCTTTATCAGCTGGGGGCCTAGTGGGAGGGAGGTGAAGGGCAAAGCCCTCTGGCCCGGGTTCTGATCCACACAATGGCTCCTCTGTCCTCCCTGCTGCCTCTCCCCTGCCCCCCTCACCTCTGGTCTCAGCTCTGCCCCCCTCCTTCTTGTCATTCACCTTCCCCTCCCAGGCTGCCTCTCTCCAGCCCTCCTCTAAAGAACTGTCTCATCTCTGGAAACTCACCCATGGCATCCCTGGCCCAGGAGGCAGGATTGGGCAAGAGCCCTTTCCCCTTTTGACAGTCGGGGGAACCGAAACCCTGAGAGCGAAGGCCTTGTCCAGGCTGCCAAACCAGTTACCAGCAGAGCTGAGCATGGAACCCGGGCGGCCTGACCCCCAGCCTGAGTGGCCGAGCCTGCTCCAGGTTTCTTGCTGCTGTTTGAGTATCCGTTGGCCTGGTGGGTCACTTTCCACAGAGCTGCTTCAGGAACCCAGCTGCTCAGTCTCTGGGAGAAAGAGGAAGCATCTCCAAAGCCTCCCAGGCTTCATCCCATCTCCCGGGTCCTGATTAAGCAGCTGTGCCCAGCCAGGCCCACCATGGGCCTGGTATCAGGTTTGATCTGACCTGATTGCCAACCCAGAGCTTGGCTCGCAGGTAATACCAGTCTCACGGGTGAAAGAAACTGCTTTTCCACCCCCCCCACCCCCGCCATTCCTGCTTGTGGGCAGTCTCCCCAGGGACACACGCCTGAGACTTTTTTATTCTTCTTGTTAAAGAAAACGGGCCTTCCCTGGGCCTGGCCCCAGCTCTCTGGAAACTTGGAGCCTCAACTTGCTTGTACTAGGAAAGGACTCCTGCCCGCTCCCTTCCCTGAAGCTGCCATCCTGGGAGGGTGCAGGAGGGCTGAGTCGCAGGGTCTCAAGGCTTCTGGTGACCTCAAGTCCTTTCTGCCTGCGAGGCTGCAAGGGCAGGGGAAGGGACGTGTCCAGCTCTTTTAAGACTTGTGTTCTTGGTCCTGGCCGGTTTGGCTCAGCGGTTAGAGCGTCGGCCTGCGGTCCAGAGAGACCCGGGTTTGGTTCCAGCTAAGGGCACGTACCTCAGTTGCAGTTTGTCCCCGGCCCTGGTTGGGTCGTGTGGGTGGCAGCCACTCGATGTGTCCCTTTCACGTTGATGTTTCTCTCTGTCTCTTCCTCTCTCTCCCTCCCACTCTATCTGAACAAACAATGGAAAAATGTCCTCCGGGGAGAATTAAAAAAAAAAAAAAAAGACTGTGCTCTTGGACAGCTCCACACGTGGCTTACCCTTCTGCGAGTTTCCTTCCGGTGGCTGTTCCCGGCTGGGGACGGTGGGGTACCCCGCATGTAGGGGTCCAGGAGAGCAGACACTCAGGATTCTTCGCTGCTTGCAGAGGTGCAGCTCCTCTGGGCGTGCGGTGGTGTGAGCTTAGCTCTGCTCTTTGTTCAAGTGCGTATCCAGGCTGAAGCTGGGGACCTAGTCTTCTCTGCCTGTGGGCTCTGTCTCCCACATGCCCTCATCACCTCACCTGCAGGCAGCTGACCCGGCTCCCCTTCAGGGTGATGAGCCCGAGTGCCACCCCATGTCACCCATTCCAGCCTGGAGGCACTTGCACTCGTATCCTGGGGTCATCATCACCAAGTACCACTAACTGGGTGCCTTGCAGGGTGTTTACTGTCTCTCAGTCTGGAGGCCAGAGTCTGAAATCGAGGTGTCGGTTCTTTCCGAGGCTGTGAGGAGAATCTGCCCCCCGCCTCTCCCCCAGCTTCTGGTGCTTGCTGGCGATCTCGGGGGTTCCTTGGCTTGTAGCTGCATCACCCCGATCTCTGCCTTCATCTTCAGGAGGCCTTCTCCGGAAAGGTCTGGCTGAGATGTGTTCTTTCAGTGCCTGCATTAGCTTCCGTGGGCAAGTTCTTTTTCTGATGTAAATTACTCTGGGAGGGAGAGCCAGTAAGTTATTAGGACTCTAGTGTTAATTCATGTATCACATTTTAATAAAAAAATATAACCATACTAGGTGCCTTTAGAGGGGGAAGTAGTGCGCACTGACTTGGTGTCAGAGGAAAGGGGAGCCTGGAAGCTGCATCGCCCCCCAGCATTGTCCCTGCGATCTGTGGGGGCAGCTGTGGACGTCACGCTGGCCCAGGCTTCCCGCTGCTCCCCTCCTCCTTTTTCAGATCTCACCTCGGAACAAGGCTGAGCCAGATTGGGCTTCTGAGCTGATAGGTTTGTCCCCTGGTCCTTGGAAGAACACATCTGGTTTTCGTGTTGGTGTATTAGGCTCCTACTAGGTTCCTGTTTGTTATCTTACAGTTCTGAAGGGCAAGTTTAAAGTGGATTGGCGCCCTGGCCGGTTTGGCTCAGTGGTTGGAGTGTCGTCCTGTGGACCAGAGAGTTCCAGGTTCGGTTCCCGCTAGGGGCACGTGCCAAAAAAAAGTGGATTGGGCCCTGGCCAGTTTGGCTCAGCGGTTAGAGCGTCGGCCTGCGGTCCGGAGAGACCCGGGTTCGGTTCCCGCTAAGGGCACGTACTTCGGTTGCAGTTTGTCCCCGGCCCTGGTTGGTCGTGCGGGTGGCAGCCACTCGATGTGTCCCTTCACGTCGATGTTTCTGTCTGTCTCTCCCTTCCTCTCTCTTCCTCCCACTCTATCTGTACAAAAAATGGAAAAATATCCTCGGGTGAGGATAAAAAAAAAAAAGTGGATTGGCAGAGTTGCGTTCCCCCATTCTAGATTCTGGAGGCCACCTGGGCTCAGGACCCTTTCCTCGCCTCCAACGCCAGCAGCGTAGCGCCTTCAAATCTCTGTCTGACTTTTGCTTCTGTTCTCACATCTTCTCTGGTCCTGCCTCCCTCCTGTAAGACCCCCGTGACGATTGTGGACCCACCCAGAGAACCCAGAATTACCT